TATGTGTGATTTTCTTTTTTTTTTTGTCAATATTTTTTATTATGAAATTGTGGGGTACAGTTAAGGGTTAGGTATACAAATATGCTTCGTTCAGGCACCCTTGTTGATAAGAGGTGTCTCTCCATGTGATTTTCAAATAAACATTAGACGTTACACTTAGAGAAGCCCTTTTCTTTCTTTTTTTTTTTTTTTTGAGTTGCAGTCTTACTCTGTCACCCAGGCTGGAGTGCAGTGGCATGCTCACGGCCACATAGCCTCGACCTGCTGGACTCAAGCAATCCTTCTACCTCAACCTTCCAAGTAGCTGGAACTACAGGCACATGCCACCATGCCTGGCTAATTTTTTGATTTATTGTAGAGATGAGTTCTTGCCAAGACACCCAGGCTGGTCTCGAACCCGTGGGCTCAGGCAATCCTCTCACCTCGGCTTCCCAAAGTGCTGGGATTATAGGCATGAGCCACTGTACTGGGCCTCTTTTTAACAATTTTCGAGATTCCTATTATGTGCCACATTTTGATAGTCTGAAAAAAATTTTAAACTTTTTTTTTGAGTTGGAGTCTCACTCTGACACCCAGGCTGGAGAGCAGTGGCACTCTCCTGGCCACTGCAACCTCGACCTGCTGGGTTCAGGCGATCCTTCTACTTCAGCCTTCCAAGTAACTGGAACTACAGGCATGCACCACCATGCCCAGTTAATTTGTTTGTGTGTGATTTATTGTAAAGATGAGGTCTCACCAAGTTGCCCAGGCTGGTCTCGAACCCGTGGGCTCAGGCAATGCTCTTACCTCGGCCTCCCAAAGTGCTGGGATTATAGGCATGAGCCACCGCACACAGTCTAAACTTGTTTTAAAAAATTGGTCACACTGGGCCGGGCTCGGTGGCCTTATCTCTACAATAAATCAAAAATTAGCCAGGCGTGGTAGCACGCGCCTGTAGTTCCAGCTACTTGGAAGGCTGAGGCGGAAGGATCACCAGAGCCCAGCAGATCGAGGCTGCAGTGGCCGGGATTGGCCACTGCACTCCATCTGGGCAACGGAGTGAGACTCCAACTCAAAAAAAAAAATTGGTCACACTGTATTGGTCCCACTCAGTGACCGTAGGCCATCATACTCCTGTCCCCTCTGTAACATGGGACAATGTCTTCTATTTCACTACACATGGAAACAGCAATGTCTATTTACCACACCTGCTTGCCACTTGGGATGAACCAGCTTCGAGTAAGAGAACAGTTCTTCATAGCACTGAAAAGTAGCACAGTCATCACTGTCTTCATAAGCTCACTGGTGAAAGTGGTTTGTGTTCTTTGGACATAGGAGGATTCTGAGGCTCAAAGTCAATGATGGCTCAAGTTCACAGAACCAGCAATGAGTCAAACCCATTCAGTTCAGGGTTTTGCAAAATGCCACTTTCATGATTTGTTGTCTTTTTTTTTTTTTTTTTTTTGAGTTGGAGTCTCACTCTATCACCCGGACTGGAGTGCAGTGGCATGCTCATGGTCAGCACAGCCTCAACCTGCTGTGCTCAGGCGATCCTTCCACTTCAGCCTTCCAAGTAGGTGGAACCACAGGTGTGCGCCATCACTCCTGGCTAATTTTTCTTGATTGATTGTAGAGATGAGTTCTCACCAAGTTGCTCAGGCTGGTCTCGAACTGGTAGGCTCAGGCAATCCTCTCACGTCGGCCTCCCTAAATGCTGGGATTATAGGCGTGAGCCACCGCACCCGGCCTTGTTGTCTCGGTTTTTTTTTTTTTCTTTTTTTTTGAGTCAGAGTCTCACTCTCTTGCCCAGACTGGAGGGCAGTGGCATGCCCACGGCCATTGCATCCTTGACCTGCTGGGTTCAGACGATCCTTCCACTTCAGCCTTCCAAGAAGCTGAAACTCCAGGCACGTGCCACCACGCCCAGCTAATTTTTAAAATTTATTATAGAGATGAGGTCTCGCCAAGTTGTCCAGGCTGGTCTCGAACCTGTGAGCTCAGAAAATCATTTCACCTCAGCCTCCCAGAGCAATGGAATTATAGGCGTGAGCCACCGCACCTGACATGTTGTCTGTTTTTTATATCAAAACCAGCTAGCAACACGCTAGCTCAGCTTCTAATGCGGGCAGTCTGGAGATTAGTGTATAACTGTCCATACCGCCCAAGGCATGCATTCATTTGATGACAGAGGAGGCGTGGGCCTGGTACTGGGAACATGTGCTCCTGGAGATTCCATAGAAGACAGCTGAGATTGCAGAAACTGAGGTAAGTGGTGCTCCTTACTCAGCAGCCATCTGCTTTTCTGGCAGAACAGTATGCTGCTTTTCTCCTGGAGATCATCCTCCCCGGAGCACCTTTAGACGGTGCTTGTGTGAGTGACCCCTACTCGGTTTCAGAGGCATCTCAGGGGAGGCCCATTTGGCCTGAACACATAGGGTGCTGCCGGCCCTAGCACGAGGGTAAGTCTGTTTTGCGCTACTATAACAGGATGCCTAAGCCTAGTTAATTTCTAGATGAATAGACATTTATTGGCTCATGGGAGGTCCAAGGTGGAGAGGCTGGCGCCTGGTGAGGGCCTTCCTGGTGCATCATCCCACGGCAAACAGGCAGAGAGGGAGAGCGAGAGCAAGAGGGGGCTGGACTTGTCCTTTTGTAAGAAACTGACTCCCACAATAACAGCATTAATTCATTCATGAGGGCAGAGTCTTCACGGCCTAATTACTTCTTAATGCTCTTCCAAAGGCAATTAAATTGAAGGCCGGGCATGGTGGTTCATGCCTATAATCTCAGTACTTTGGGAGCCTGCAGGTTCAAGACCAGCCTGGGCAACTTGGCGAGACCTCATCTCTACAATAAATCAAAAAATTAGCTGGGCATTGTGGCACATGCTTATAGTTCCAGCTACTTGGACAGCTGAGGTGGAAGGATTACCTGAGCCCAGCAGGTTGAGGCTGAGGTGGCTGTGAGTGTGCCACTGCACTCCAGTCTGGGCAACAGAGTGAGACTCCATCTCAAAAAAAAAAAAATTTCAACCTGAGAGCCAGGTAGTGGCTCATGCTTATAATCCCAGCACTTTGGGAGGTTGAGGCAGGAGGATCGCTTGAACCCAGGAGCTTGAGACCAATCTGGGCAACATAGCAAGACCCTCATCTCTATTTAAAAATAAAGTAAAATGATACTAGATTTAGAGAAAAGTTGCACAAGAGTCTGTCTATATACTTCACTCTGGCAACATCTTACATAACCATAGTATAATGATCATAACTAAGACATTAACAACATGATGATACCAACTACAGGTTTTATTCAGAGTCCATCAGTTTGGGTTTGTCTGGTGTTTTGGTCACAATGAGCATGAGGTTACCAGAGTGGATGCATCCTCTTCAGGGCACTGGTCAGGGGTATACGACATGGATGTATTGTTACTGCCGAGGTTCACTTTGATCATGTGGCTAAGGGACTGTCTGTCATTTCTCTGCTGTAAAGTTACTATTTTCACCTTGTGGATTACTCTCTTGGGGAAAGATAGATGCTTTCAAACTAAGCAAATATCTTGTTTCTTAAAATTCTGTTCACCGATCTATTTTTTATGTGTATTTTTTGAGTCAGGGTCTCATTCTGTTGCCCAGGTTAGAGTGCAGTGGTATGATCATGGTTCACTGCAGCCTCAAGCTCCTGAGCTCGGGCGATCCTTCCTCCTCAGTCTCCCAAGTGGCTGGAACTACATGCATGTGCTACCACATACTAGTTTATTTTTTGTGGAGTTGAGGTCTCGGCTTTGTTGCCCAGGCTGATCTAGAACTCCTGAGCTCAAATACTCTCGCCAAAGTGCTGGGATTATAGGCGTGAGCCACCATGCTTGGCCTGCCCCCCACTTTTAAAGTAATTAGGGCTCTTGTCTGCAGCAGCTGCTGTTCTGGTGGTGCTTTCCTGTTTCCCTCATTCCTTCCACAGGGACGGGATGCAATATTCTTGCTACTTTCTTGCTCAAATTGCTCCTTTGTCTCTTGGACACTTCTTAGCTGGGTCCCGTGTCCTCTGACATGTCCTGGGATTCTACTAGCACAGAGAGCCTAGCCCTGTAGTCAAGCACCGCTCCAAGGAGCCCCTTCCTTCTATTGAGTTTACTGTTCTCTTATATCAACTGGCCCAATCAACTGTTTTTGTCTGAGTTGGAGGTCTCACTCTGTTGCCCAGGCTGGACTGCAGTGGCATGATCATAGCTCACCGCAGCCTCGACCTCCCGGGCTCAGGCGATCCTTCTGCCTCAACCTCCCATAGTAGCTGAGACAACAGGCACTGCCACCATGCTTAGCTACTTTTTAAATTTAATTAATTTATTTTTTATTTTTATTTTTTGAGTTGGAGTCTCACTCTGTTGCCCAGACTGGAGTGCAGTGGTCGCTCCTGGCCACCGCAGCCTCGACCTGCTGGGCTCCGATGATCCTTCCGCCTCAGCCTTCCAAGTAGCTGGAGTACAGGCGTGTGCTACCACGCCCGGCTAATTTTTGATTTATTGTAGAGATGAGGTCTCGCCAAGTTGCCCAGGCGGGTCTCGAACCCGCAGGCGCAGGCAATCCACTCACCTCAGCCTCACAAAGCACGGGATTACAGGCTGAGCCACCAAGCCCAGCTCTTAGCTAACTTTTTATTCTTTGTAGAGACAAGGTCTTGCTGAAACTCCTGGGCTCAAGCAATCCTCCCACCTTGGCCTCCCAAAGTACTGGGATTATAGGCAAGTGCGCTACCATGCCTGGCCCAACTCTTTATCTTGTTGAAACCAGCAGGTCTTTCCGTGGCCTAGCAGCAGTAAGGAATAAGCAGGGGCAGAAACAAGTCTCTGAACACTCAGGGAGTGATAAGCGAGTTGCCACCACTGTGTGGACAGGGAGGGAGCATGGCTGAGACCCGAGTGCTGTTTCTAGGGCCTTGCCCACTGCCTGCTGCCTTGAGCCGACACATTCAACCCGACACCACAGGCCCCATGTGTGCTTCATGAGCGAGTCAGAGGGCAGCAGCTCTTTTGGAGGCTTCATTTTGACTTTTTATTTTGCAGCACAGATGGAAACAAAACAACCCTTCCAGTTGAGTTAGGTTTTGAGGGCTCATGATAAAGAGAAGACGGGATGTGCCAGTAACAGTCAAGGTTTCAAGAAAAGGACAGGACCCACAGATAGTGAGGGGTCAAAAAGGGTCCCTCATTCCTCCCCTCATTTCCTTTCCCAACATCTCAGGTGTGTGTCACTCAGGACAGAGGCAGAGACGGGAGGTGGAAAGCATCAAGTCCTCTCTCCCAATATGATGACAACCAGAACTTTCCACAGGAGAACTTGTGCTTTTGGACCTTGGCTTTTTTCCCAGAGGCCAAGTCATACTGACCTCTCTGAGGACCCACCCAGGGTGTCCAGCTGTCACTCAGGGTCACTGATAAGCCTGGTACAGGGAACTCCACCCAGGAGATAGCTGGACACACTTGCATCGGCTCTTGGAAGTCTGTGTATGACCTGGCAAGAGAAACTGGGAGAGGGGAGTGGGGAGGAGGAGCTACTGCTTTCCTGAGCAAGTTGGAAGAGGGCCAGGACACAGGGCGAGGGCAGGATTCTTTCTGGTGGGAGGTGCACGTGGAAGCCGGCCTCAGTCTTTCAGCTGAGACACCTCACACAGGTACGCAGCCAACATCTTGGTTCCTTCTATGTAGTTATGTCTGGTGGAGAAGAACGCAATATTACATCAACACTCAGGCACAGGTGATTTCTCCAGGCCCGGGCACACGCTGCATTCTTTCTGGGGAGCGCCACCTACTCTGGCTTGGTGCCCTGGGTCCTGTTTGCCTTTAGAACTCGGCCCCCTCGTCTCAAGTACAGATTCAGTCTGACTGTCCACCCTGGGGACCCAACCTAGGGATCTTGGGAATGGTAGGGGTCTCCCCTAGTGCCCTAGGGAGAGGGCCTTGACCTTGGGCCCTGCCTGTTGTTGGTTTGTTTCTGAAAACTAGGCCTCTACTCATGTCCTCACAACCAGGTCTCTACCCACCCCGCTGCAGTGTCTCTGCCTCTTAGTCCCTGACTGTTTATTTCCATTACTTCAAGAAGATGGGTCCTTGTGTTTTGTCCTCCTCTCAGTTCTGGGGGCCACAAGCCTCTCTCTCAACTTTCCGTTGGTCCCCCTGCCTGCTTGGGCCTCTCCTAGAGCTGCTCTCTCAGAGGCCGTCCCCTTCCCTATTGGTGACAAGAATCTCCATTATGCCTGCCATGTCAGGAATGTATAAAAGTGACTGGGCGCAGTGGCTCATGCCTATAATCCCAGCACTTTGGGAAGCTGAGGTGGAAGAACTGCTTGAGTCCAGAAATTTCCTTTTCTTGTTTTTTGAGTAGGAGTCTCACTCTGTCACCCAGGTTGGAGGGCGGTGGCATGCTCCTGGCCACCACAGCCTTGACCTGCTGGGCTCAGGTGATCCCTCCGTCTCAGTCTTCCAAGCAGCTGGAGTTATAGGCACATGCTACCACGCCTGGCTAACTTTTTGATTTGTTGTGGAGATGGGGGGGGGGTCTCACCAAGTTGCCCAGGCTGATCACGAACTTGTGGACTCAGGCAATCCTCTCACCTCGGCCTCTCAAAGTGCTAGGACTATTAGCATGAGCCACTGCACCTGGTCTGAGTCCAGAAGTTTCAAGACTAGCCTAGGCAACACAGAAAGATCTCTTCTCTCTTCCCACCCCCCAAATGAACTGGTTGTGTTGGTGTGCACCCACAGTCCCAGCTGCTCAGGAGGGAGGCTGAAGTAGAAGGATCACCTGAACCCAGGAGGTCGACGTTGCAGTGAGCTGTGATTATACCACTGCACTCCAGCCTGGGTGACAGAGTGAGATTCTGACTCAAAATAACTCAAAAAAGCAAACACAAACAAAAACTAGCAATGCATGTAGTTGGCAATGGCATTATAGTTTTTCAAAAAGAAAAGTAGAGGGGGCTTTGAGTGGTAGATAAAGTACAGAGGTAAACACAGACCCCTGGCTGAACCTTGTTTTTACACATGGCTACCTGTCCAAGGCCTTACCTGGCCTGTTGTCAGAAGTTGTCCCCACCCCAAATACACATGGTAGGAGGGGTGGTCCCAGAGCTGCCCGCCTCCTGCTTGCTTCTCTTGGGAACAGCACATGAGGAGGCGTGGAGGAAATGGGGGTTAAAGGGGCCCCAGGCCCGAAGCCCTGGAGTCTCACCTGTTAAGCTTTTCATTCTGAGAGTGAGCGCCGTCGTCTGCTGACCCCACAGGCAAGAGCATGACATTCTTGCCTGTGGCCTCCTGAAAGGTCAGGGTCACAGGAATACTGCCGCCTTCCCTGGTCAAGTCTGGTTCAACACCAAAAACTGGGAGAAATAGAATAAAATAAATGGTGAACATGGGGCATTGAGGCCGGGGGGTCCCTCACGGATGAACTGCTCAGCGGCACTGAGTCAGACCTGGTGCGAGGCCCTGGGGACAGGGACCCAGTGCTCAAGGTCAGTTAGGGACCCAGACCCACCCTACACACTGGCTCTCCGTAGTATCGCTGACATAGCTATGCACCCATGAGATACCAGAGTATCTCTGGTGCAGTTATTGTACCTGTATGACACAACAGAGAATCATTGACACAGTCATGTGCCCATAGGATACAACTGATTCCTATCAGAGACACTAAGGGTCCTGGCATGCATCCTCAAGAGAGTCCAACCTGTTTTCAGGGCTCTCCTTCCAGCCATGTAATGAGGATGGTTGAAGTCAGATACCCAGGGCTTCCCACCATGGCCCATGTACACCTTGAACTTGTTGGGGCTGTGTAGTTCAGCAAACTTCTTAGTCAGGTAGCTTGTAACCTAAACCACAAACAGAAGAGACACACAGTGTTTTACAAGCTTGGCAGCTGATCCAGTGCTAGTGAACTGCTACTAGTCTGCTACAGTGGGCTTACAATGGATTTATGAGTCTACACTGGGTCTACGATGAGTCTATAATGAACCTACACTGAGTCTACACAGTGGGTTTACAACAAGCCTACAATCAGTCTACAATGAGTATCACTTTCTGTTGCTTAATACTGAACTGTATAACTATAATAACAGAAAAGGACACTATCAACAAAATTCAGCTATTTGAAGGTAAAAGGTAATACCTTAATTTCAAGTAATCCATCCTTTTTTATATAGATTATTCCAATTAGGCTTAAGAACAATGTTCCCTGACTTGCTTTATGTTATAGACATCATGTGCCCCCCACCCCCATTCATATATTAAAGCCTAAACCCCAATATGACTGTATTTGGAGATAGAATTAATGGAAATAATAAGGGTAAGAACCCTGACTGGGTTACAAGAGACACCAGAGAGCTTGCTGCCTCTCTCTCTGCCAGGAGAGGACACAGTGAGGAGGCTGCCATCTGCAGGCCAGGAAAAGAGCCCTCTACAGATACACTGCCACCACCTTGATCCTGGGACTTTCCAGCTTCAAAACTGTAAGAAATACACTTCCGTCACTTAAGGCAACCTGTGATATTTATTACAGCAGTCCAAGCAAACTAAGACACTTTATAAAAATGACCACAAACTCAGTTTTATCTAGACCTAAGACGGAGCCAGGTGACCCAGGGATACCTCCTTGTGACAAAATCCCAGATTCAGCATGGAGAGCAGGCCTCAGTCTCCCCTTCCCAGTAGGGAAAACGATGACTTTGTCTTTCATGAACTCTTCCCAGATGAGGAGGTGGCTGGTCAGAGCCTGGCTGATCTGCAGCCACCAACGTACCCCCTCAACTTGTCACCACAGTGAGGGCAGCTCCCCAGGACTGGCCAGAACACATTTGGCTCAAAGTCAGCATGCGACCTGGAGCCTTGGAGTGAGGCCAGAGGTCAGATTTCAGCATGCCTCAGCAGTCACAAAGGTCACTTTCTTGTGATGCTTATTATTTTGGCCTGTAACTTTGATAAGTTTCTGAATTGCTCATTGCAGTAATTATCGAACAGGCCAGAGCCAGGAAGTAGAGATACAGGGTTGGGCCTGGGTGTTTGCCTGAGTAAAATCCTCTTGTTACCTAAGATTCTGAGGAGACACAATGGCTCTTGGCTCCCAGCCTGTGTCTCCAGGTCCCACAGAAGCCCTCAGCCCTCACACCGTGTCCCTGGCCCCACATGCCTGCTCACTGACGACTTCTGGGGTCATATCTGGCACGAGCCTGATGGAGAACTTGCCAACCACCTTCCTAGGAATCACGGTCTTGGCCCCTGATCCAGAGAAGGCGCCCTCGATGCCGTGGAGGGAGAGGGATGGGTACCTCCATCGGTGCATGAGGATATCTTTCTGCAGAAAATGATAGGAAGATTAGGGGGCAGCTCAGGTGCTCAGCGCCAGCCCTGTCTACTCCCTGGAAGGCGGGCATATTGTCTGGGAACTCGGCTGTATAGGGACAGGGGTCCTGACAACCATAGGCAGGAGGTAGAGACCCTGTCGCAAACACGCTCTGGAACTGCTATGGCATAGCACAGCCTTGGGCGTGGCATACCATTGCCTCTTGCCACAAAGTGGATAGCTTAGGCTCACCCAGCAAAATGAGGAAGCCACAGCTGGTTATTGAGTGCCTGCGGAACCTGGTGTCACTGTTCCACATACATCAGAGCTCCTGACAGGCCAGAGGCACCAGGATGAAGAAGGGACACAACACAGGCCATGCCAGACCCCTACCAGCCCCACAGGACACAGGATGTAGGGCTTGTTTCTACTGGGAGGAGAGTGCCAGGCTCACCACCACATCCTGGCATGGCCCTGTGAACCCACAGACACCATCACCCTCACCAAGGGGATAGGCAGGAAGCAGTCTGTTTTCTAAGCACACAGCCGATACTATGAATCTTCTATGCTGTATCCCAGCAGCAGCAGATTAGTCAGGAGAGTATCTGCAGCCACCCAAAAGGGGCTTCCAGAAGGTTCCCCAGTGACTTAGCCACGTAACATATAGACTTCTTGCTTATGAACCAAATTGATCGGTGACATCTGGAAGGAATATACAAGGCCCTAAAAAGCCCTACATAAAAGCAAACACCAACCTGAAGGGAACAGGGCAGGAAGAACGAAGTCTGTCCAGACCCAACCCTCCCAGGCCCATCTCGCCCGTGCCTCACCTCTCCTGGTCCACAGTATTACCAACCAGTTGCTGCCTGTGAGACCCTTCTCTTCCTATTCTGGAGGACCCTCCCAAGGTGTTGTGTGTCCAAGATATCCTCCCAACCCTCATCCCCATGACCAGCCAGGGCTCCACACCTGCAACAGACTCCCAGATCTCCCAGCTCTGACAACAACCCCTGTAATCGTGCCCTACACTGGATCCAATAAGCTCAGACCCTTGCCAGCTCTCTGCCTCCTAGGATAACCCCAGAGACTCTCCTCAGACCCTTGCTGGGCTCTCTGCCTCCTAGGATGTCCATGGAGCTCCTTGGCAGCTTACAGGCCTTCACATCTGCTCTGGGGTGACTTAAAGACCTCTGGGACTAGGAGTGAAGAGATTACCTACAAATGCAAATATATATATAAAAATATATTCCAATCAGGGTCATTCATATATATGCCCAGAGTCTCACTCCGTCAACCAGGCTGGAGTACAGTGACACAATCATGGTTCACTGCAGCTTCGACCTCCTGGGTTCAGGCAAATCCTCCTACCTCAGCTTTCCAAGTAGCTGGGACTACAGGCATGTGCCACCACACCTGGCTAATTTTTTGATTATTTTGTAGAGACAAGGTCTCACTGTGTTGACTAGGTTGGTCTTGAACCCTTGGGCTCAAGCAATCCTTCAGCTTCGGCCTCCCAAAGTGCTGGGATTATAGGCATGAGCTACTGTGCCTGGCCTATGATTTTGACATTTTAAAAGAGGTAACAGCTCGTGACCTGGGCATGTTCCGCTCTCTGAATGTCTGTACCATCTGACAACTTGTGTGCCTAATGCTCCAGCCCCTTCCTTTGGGAATTCCCTGATACGAATAGGTGACAGAGCCTGGTAGACATCCACGTCATGCCAATACCCCAAGGGCAGCAGGGGTGAGGCCCCAAGTGAGCACCTTGCAGCTGTGCAGGAGTGTCTGTGCCCCCACGTCCTTGGCAAACTCCTCCACATCGAAGTCGATGTCATCGTAGAGCTTGTGTTCCTCCTCAGTCATGGCGGCCACAGCCTCGTTGATGCCAGGGATCAAGATGGTCCCCTTCTTGTCAACCAGGGAGCCTGAGGAGAGCGGCAGAGGATTATAATGCTCAGAAGAGGCCATGCCAAGACGGGTGATCTTCCCTGGGCGGACTCTGGGGAGTCAAGCTCGGGAGAGACACACAGCTCAGGCTTTGGGGTCATGTGGCTGAGGAAGGGGCCCAAGAGCAGCTGTGACCCATCTCATGGAATGACGCACGAGGTGACATGTCCCAAGCACACATCTTGCAGGCACTGTCTAGTGACTTCAGCTTGATGAGTGATTTAGTCACCACAAAGGCTCCATGAGGAGGGTAGTGCCATCATCCCCATTTCTCAGAAAAAGAGACTGAGGAACAGATGGGGGAAGTAAACTGTCCTTGGTCACAGACCAGGCAGACTAGCTCCAAGCAGGCTCACTCTAACCATCACACTGTCCCATATTTCTTTTATTTTTATGTTATTTATTTATTTTTTTGAGTCAGTCTCCATCCATAGCCCAGGCTGGGGTGCAGTAGCATGCTCAAGGTCACCCCAGCGCCGACCTGCTGGGCTCTGGCGATTCTTCTGCCTCAGCCTTCCAAGTAGCCAGAACTACAGGTGTATGCTATCATACCCAGCTAATTTTTTTTTTTATTGTAGAGACGAGGTCTCATTGAGTTGCCTAGGCTGGTCTTAAACCTGTGGGCTCAGGTAATCCACTTGCCTCAGCCTCCCAAAGTGCTGGGATTACACGCTGAGCCACCGAGCCCAGCCTTCTTTTATTTTTTGAGTCAGAGTCTCACTCTGTCACCCAAGCTGAAGTGCACTGGCATGCTCAACAGCCACACAACTTTGACCAGCTGGGTTCAGGTGATCCTTCCGCCGCAGCCTTCTAAGTAGCTGGAACTAAAGACATGTGCCATTGTGCCTGGATAATTTTTCTTAATTATTGTAGAGATGAGGTCTTGCCAAGTTGCCCAGGCTGGTCTCAAACTCATGGGCTCAGGCAATCCTCTCACCTTGGCCTCCCAAAGTGCTCGGATTATAGGAGTGAGTTACCACGTTCAGTCCCATATTTCTTTTTAATATGCATTCCACAAGAAACAAGCTGCTCTTGAGCTGAGGAGGGAAAACTGAGAGGGACAGAGTAGACCCCAATCCCAAAGACTATGTGACATCGCATAGGGTGCTATTACCCTGAAGGGGAAGAAAAGCAAGCTTGCAGGACCACATGGGCAGGAGGGGCTGTGTTTAGCCTGAGAGCAGGAAGACCCCAGAAATAGCAGATACAGCTCTAGCTCTCAAAGAGCTGATCAAGCCAGACACAGTGGCTCATGCCTGTAATCCCAGCACTTTGGGAGGCAGAGGTGAGAGGATTGTCTGAGCCCAGGGGTTTGAGATCAGCCTGGGCAAACTGGTGAAAACTCATCTCTATAATAAATGAAAAAATTAGCTAGGCATGGTGGTGCACACCTGTAATTCCAGCTACTTGGAAGGCTGAGGTGGAAAGATGGCCTGAACCCAGCAGGTTGAGGCTGCAGTGGCCATGAACATGCCACTGCACTCCAGCCTGGGCGACAGAGTGAGACTCCAACTCAAAAACAAAAATAAAAAAAGAGCTGATCAGGTAGGGCCTTAGATGTGGCCAGTTATAATGTAAAAACCAAAGTTTTTTCAAATATGACAGTGAGAGTTTCAAATATGACAGTGTCCAGAGGAAGGACAGGGCCATGGGACTCAAGGGGACCAGCCAGACAGGCCTGGGGTATCTGAGCTGGATGCTGGAGGCCAGGCAGGGCTTCACCAGGTGCTGACAAGCATGGGAGGGCTGCAGTTGCAGAGAGGAAGGCCAGGGCCTCCTACAGGGACAAGGGGGTGGGAGAGGGGCAGGAGTGGTCAGAAACAGCGAAGCTGGTTCTGCAGGACCCCAGGATGCCCCAAGTGCCAGGGACAGACAGCCTGGAATGATGCCCACTCTCCCAGCCCCCACATGGTGCCTGAATGCTGTCATGCTCACCCATCAGCAAAATGAGATCGGTCATGGCCTCGTGCACTGAGCCCCCGTACACCCCGGAGTGGAGGTCTTTGTCGCTGCATTCCACCTGGACACAAACAAAGGCCACTTTATTGGGCTGCTTCGTGGGAGCTTATTCCTATCAAGTGACAGTGAATTGAACAAAGAGCATTCATGAGACCTGATGATTTTCCAAATCTTGGCTCCCCTCAAGGAACCAAGCAAGGCATTTCCCAAATTAAAAACTTAGGCAGAAACAAAAAATACTTTTGGATATGCCAACCACAGGTTAACTGGGAATGCTTACCTCAGGTAAAGTGGGAATGCTAACTACAGGTAAACCAGTAATGCTAGGGACAGGTCAACTGGGAATGCTAGGGACAGGAAACTGGAAGTGCTAACCACAGGTAAACCGGCAAAGCTAGGGACAATAAACCAGGAATTCCAGCCCCAGGTACACTGGGAATGCTAGGGATAGGTAAACTAGGCATGCTAGGGACAGGTAAGCTGGGGATGCTAGGGAAGGGTCAGCCAGAAATGCTAGGGACAGGTAAACTGGGTATGCCAGGGACAGGTAAACCAGGAATGCCAGTCCCAAGTAAACTGGAAATGCCAGCCCCTGGTAAACCTGGAATGCTAGGGACAGTGAAAGTGGGAATGCTAAGGACAGGCAAACTGGGACTGTCAACCACAGTAACCTGGTTATGAGAGCCATAGGTAATCTAGATACACTAACTATAGATACAAGTATGCCACAGGGCAAGCTCTCTACTCAGAGCCTTTTCTAGAATTTTCATGAAGATTCAGCACACCTCCCCTGAGAGGGGAGCACCCAATGTGAATAACAACCAACATGCACCTGGAGACAGAGGACCTGGGTTCAGGTGTTACCTCGTCACCGGCTAGTTGTACACCCAGGGTAAGGCAGCCACCACTGTGTGCTGCCCTCACATGTAAATGGGAAGAGGATTCCATCACTGGGGATTGTTGGGTCACCTGTAAACCATAGGACGGTGCTTTGCCCGGAGTGAGTGCTCAAGGCGGTAACTGTAATGCTGTCTAGCACTGTCCAGGTAATAAACGATTTCCAGACAGGATCTAATTTGCTCACCACAGTCACCCTGTGGGCACAGGCTCTAGCCCTCACTTGGGAGATCACCACCAGCCAGTACATGACAGAATCTGGCCCAGGCCTAGCCTCTCCCATGCTCCACCCTGCCTAGGTTTCTTTTTATGTAGTTCAGGGGCTCATGTTCTCCAGGTCAATCAGTCATGAGATAAGAGCTTAAGTGCTTAAGTATAGATATTCTGGTCAGGTGCAGAGGCTCATGCCTGTAATCTTAGCACTTTGGGAGGACAAGGTAGGACTGCTTGAGCCCAGGAGTTCAAGATGAGCCTGGGAAACATAGTGAGACCTCGTCCTACAAAAAAAATTTAAAAAACTAGCTGGGTGTTTTGGCACATGTCTATAGTCCCAGCTGTTTGGGAAGATGAGGCAGAAGGATCACCTGAGCCCAAGAGGTTGAGGCTGTGTGCCACTGCATTACAGTCTGGGCAACAAAGCAAGACCCTGAGTTAAATAAATACGTAAATAAATAAAGTATAAATATCTCAACTTTTAAAAGAAAATGTTTCTAAAATGCTTTGTGTATGCCTGCGTCTTCATAAACAGATTAGCATTTATTCTCTCTTGACTGCTCCAAGGCACTATTACAAATAATACTATCCCAGTTTGTTGTTGCTGTGGAATTAACTGATTATTGGAAGCGTGTCTGTCCACACCTGTAGTCTTTCTATGGTTTGTGGAAGCTCAGAACTGGGGCTCTACGCAAACTCGCTCCTCTCCTTCCCTGTGCCCAATTGCTGGCTACCTGCCTACTTTGGGGTACAGAAGAACAAGGGGACATAGGCATTTGTGAAAAACGAAACAACACCCATAGGACTCATCATCACTTTACCTCAATGAAAAAGTAGCAAATGCCCCTGAGACCGTATGTGATGCAGGGCTTCTTCTTTCCCAGCCAGTAATTGTCAGAAATGCAGACATAGTCCACGTCTTTAAAGAATTTGTCTTTCTGGTCAAAAATCAGGTCGTCCAGGCCTTCAGAGCCAGATTCCTCCATGCCCTCGAGGCAGAAGCGGACATTGACAGGGATCTCCTGGGAGAAGAAAATCGTGTGAGTGGTACTCAGCTCTGCTGTCCTTCTAGAATATCTGAGCTCCTCCAAACCAACACATGGTCCGCTGTGTGGCTTCCGGCCACTGCCTCATTCAGTCTGGGCAGGCAGGGCTCTTCATGACATGCCGCAGTTACATCCTCACTGAAGGCTCCCTGCAACCACCCAGCATGAGTAAGGAGAGCTTCTGGGAAAGCCCATGCTGCTTCCCCCAAAATAAAGGCTGTGACACAAGAACATCACTGACACCACTGGAGCCTACTAGCACAGGGAAGAGCGAACAAGACACTTTTTCCCTGAGACAGTCCCCTCATGTCACCCCCATTGCGCTCTGTGTACATAAGAGGCTGCTCTCCTTAGCCAGTGTGACAATCCAACACTTCACTGTGTGCCTTGATTGTGCTTTGTGGTTTTCCAGGTGCTTCCTGATCCCCCCCTCCCGCAAGATGAAAAAATGAAGCTGCACAGGAAGCAGGGTGACTCACCAAAGGACACACAGGTTAAGGAATGGAATGTCCCAAATATAGACTCAGGTCTGCCAAGTTCTAGTTCAAGATCACCCGGACTGCTTGAGCCCAGAAGATAAAGAACAGCTTGGGTAACATAATGAGACCTCATCTCTACAACAAAAATAAAAAAATTAGCTGGGCATGGTGGTGTAGCCCTATAGTTGGAGCTATTCGGAAGGCTGTAGCAGGATTGCCTGAGTCTAGGAGGTTGTGGCTGTGGTGAGCCATGATCACGCCACTGCACTCCAGTCTGGGCAACATAGTGAGACACTGACTCAAAAAAAACCCCCAAAAACCCCATCCAGACTTCCTCCAGATAGCTCTATTCAGTAGATGTGCTTCTTCCCTGCTGTCCTCCTCCTTTTCTCCCCTCACATGAAATCTTTCACAGGGCCTCTGCCCTGTACACAGTCACCCCTACCCTCAGTTGCCCCAGACTCAAGATGTCTCCATCACAGCTGAGGCAGCGGGCTCCATGGTACCTAGGAGTGCATGAGGCTTCCTAGTTCCTGTGCCCAGCATGCAGGGTTGGCCGTGGGTCAGGCCAGACTGGGTGGCTCTGGGTGTCACTTCCCCATTGAGTAAATGACGCCTGGACCAGAGAGTGGGAGACCCTTTTCAGATCTAACCTTCTGTGTTTTGACAAAAGCACTTATCTTGGTCAGAATGCAGTGGCTCATGCTTGTAATCCTAGCACTTGGGAGGCTGAGGTGAGAGGATTGCTTGAGCCCAAAAGTTCAAGATCTAGCCTGGGCAACATAGTGAGACCTCGTCTCTATAAAAATCAAAGAATTAGCCAGGCGTGGTGGTGCATGCCTGTAGCCCTGGTGGAGGCCATGACAATCCGGGGCTCAGCATGGGAACCAAATGAAGACACCCCCCTGGAAGGCAAAGTCCCAGAGGGGATCCGTGTGTGTGGCAAGGCCCCATGGAAAGTCTTGAGGAAAGTTCTGCATAGCTGCCCTGTGACTCCTGGTCGCCTGGTTATTCCCATTATATTGTTATCCTCCTGTCTTACAGAATAATATGTTTCAATCTCCCTCGGAAAAAGAATAATGTGATCAGAATTGAAGGGTACAGTGTCTACAATGCCAGTAATAAAGCAGTCAATGTTTCAACATCAGTTACGCCTCAGGAAATACAAATAAGAACAGGAGAGGTCATGACGACCAAACCGCCAATAGAACCAATTACTGTAACATCCACTGCAACAAAATGTACCTTTAACTGTATGGCAAATGAAACAAACACTTGGAGATTTTCTATTAAAGTTGTGACATAAGGAATTAACAGAAACTGAGGTAAAAACTGTTACAGATAACATAGGTATAGTTAAACATCAGATTAGTCATAAGACCGGAACTCCAAAAAATAAAGCCCCTAAGCCCTTACCTACTATTAGAGCAAGACAACATGTGGGATATAATATTAATGGTAGAGTTTGGTAGGCCCATAGGGGTAGAAGCAGCACGCAAGATTTATCGTGGCTTGATCCTCCTTTACCTTATACTGGAGCTTATGATGAAGATATGGTTAGGTGGGCTTGGGTAGATGGCAGATGTGTTAAATGGAACTCTCTGTCTCTCTGGGAAAGAATTAAACATAGTAGCCCACCATGGTGTTTAATTCTAAAAGCATAGAAAATAAAAACTCGCTACAAAGTAAACCAATGGTATAAGAAAATTAAATGTAGCTATTATGCAATAAAGATTGTGAGAATAGATATAATTAGCTAAGCTCGATATATTTAGTATGATGACCTTTTGCTTTTTGTTTAGTTATAAAAATAAGTTAGGAATACTTAGAACAGATGAAGTAAGCTTTGTGTGAACCCACATATTATTGCTTTAATAGCTGATCGCCCCTTTTTACCTTTTATTTTCCTTATAGAAAATTATATATTTTCATGAACTAGGATGCTAAGTTTATGAGGTTAATAGTTCAGCAGGTGGTGGTAGTGATAACCACAAAAACTGGTTTTGGGCTTATGGGGAAGTTGTATTAATTATTAACTTTATAATAAATCTTGTAAGACATGAGAACATGCAGTGTCAGTGACAAAATAATGAAATCATTTTGTGATTGTATAACCATAAAAAATGATTAATTTATAATTTACTATAAATAAACGCAACCTGGTATGTTTGATTGCCAGAGTGCCTGAAGAAACTCTGGTCACGACTCCTCCTTCCTTCGCGTCATCACACCTCCTTCTCGGGTCCCCGTGAACCCCCCGGAGCTGGCCTCTGGCATAGTCCCAACTACTTGGGAGACTGAGGTGGGAGGGTTGTCTGAGCCCAGAAGGTTAGCTGTGATTGTATCACTGCATTTCAGCCCGGGTGCCAGATTGAGACCCTGGCACCCCTCCACCCCGCACGCAAAAAACCCCACTTATCTCATTCTTACTTTATCATGATATATTATAACCTTTGAGCATCTATAAAACAATTGCACTTTTAATGTTTCCTAAAGCTGGAAAGCAAAGCTGCTATCTGAAACCAGAGTTCCCTGTGCTGGGCATGGTTTGGGGAGCTTCCCTGCTCCCAGGGACCTTCAGCAGCTGCTGTGTAGACAGAGGTCTTCTCTGTGCTGCTCAGACAGAGCCCAGGAGTTGGGCAGACCCTGGCGTGGGAGGCGTACCTGGTTGGTTTTCTGAAAAGCTTCCAGGGCGTTAATCCAGCCGGCCACTGGCCCCTTGTCGTCAGTCGCGCCTCTCCCATACAGCTTGCCTGGAACAGCATCAGCACATCCGTGATGTTATGACCACAATGAAACCACAAGAAGTACATCTCAAGGGAACTTCTGATGATACCTTAGCTGACCACACATGGCTGGCTGAGTGACACTTCCCCTTCCAGTTAGGAGTCCCGCTTTCATTCAATCAGTAGCCTCAGTCTCTATCCAACACTATTCCTAGACTTTGCCCGACGATTCACCATAACCAAATAGGCAGGTAGGGTGGATGCTCCCAAGTGACCCTCTTCCTCCCCTGCTGGTCTCAGCAGTCAGCAGGGCATTCCTGCTGGGTCAGAGTGGGACTTAGGACCCAGTTCTAGGAAGTCACTGCCAGCTGAGGAGTTCATTAAAACCTGTTTATGCCTGGGAGAAAGGGAAGCCCAGTCAATCTAGAACCCACGAGGCATTATTATCAAAAAAGCATTACCAGTCTCACCCCCCACCCTGATTTTGACAACTAGTTTGGTAAAGAACAGAACTTAATGTTTGTATTATTTATTCCCTATTTATTTCTTATCATCTTGAAAACCACAGGACCTAGTGTTACTTCTAATGAGAGTGATCAGTCACAGTAGTCCCCTCTCCACACTCTCTTTGGGAAGGCTGTCATAATCAACGACACTCAGAAGATAAGCCCAGACCCTGCTTCTCCTTTGGCAACCAACTCAGTGGTGGCCTCATGGAAACCAGGCAGGACTGGCTCAGCACGGCTAAGAGGAACGTGGCCCTGCCACGGACTGCCATGGTCCTACCATGGCCCCACCACTCAGGGCTCAGCTACTCTGGCTTTCGTCGGTCACCCTGGCATCTTCTGCCATCTTACTACTTGGGCTCCCAAGGCCTGGCAGTTTCTTTTTTTTTTTTTTGAGTTGGAGTCTCACTCTGTCACCCAGACTGGAGGGCAGTGGCCGCTCCCGGCCACCGCAGCCTTGACTTGCTGGGCTCTGGCGATCCTTCCGCCTCAGACTTCTAAGTAGCTGGAACTACAGGTGCGCGCTACCACGCCCGGCTGATTTTTTGATTTATTGTAGAGATGAGGTCTCACTGCCCAGGTGGGTCTTGAGCCCGCGGGCTCAGGCAATCCACTCACCTCAGCCTCCTGAAGGCATGGGATTACAGGCTGAGCCACCGAGCCTGGCTGCCTGGCAGTTTCAATGTGACCTAACTCACAGTACTCTGAGGCTGAAGGCACCATCCACAGGGAGTTTCCTTTTATAAGCTTGCAGGGAGGGAAGAGGGGGGCCAGGGGGTAGGAGGGACCATCTTGAATCTTATCGGAGGGGTCAAGGACAGAAGTGTCATGTTGAGGTCACTGTGGGAGCAGCACAGAAGAGGAAGGGGACAGCAAAGGCCTGAAGGGGGAGCAGGACCCAGCAGTGAAACGGGCAGTGGGGAGGACTTCAACGTGGGAAGCGTGGGGCCTAGGGAGGGCCTGGCAGGGATGGGGAGACCAGAAGAGCTCTGGCTGCTAGCATAGGTGGTGGAGAGATGGTGCAATTCACAGGACAGTAAGAGAGGAGGCAAGGAGCAGAGAGAAGGAATTCTGTTACAGACAGCCTGCGTTCAAGCGGCAAGGGCATGGATGAGTGGGCGTGTGGGCCGGACACTTAAGAGGAGCCTGAGTGTGTACAGAAGGTTAATCCTATGATGAACTCTAGGTCAGTAATTATCCTGCGCTGATGAGGAGGGCAGGAAATCAAATTTCATAAAGTGAAATCATTTTTTAGTTCTGCATAGTAATGAACACGCTCAGCACTGAGCTAGTAAAGGCTTGAAGGCAGACAACAATCCAGTTTGAAGGCTTTAGTGAAGAGTCTAGGACTTAGTCCAAGGGACAGGCAAGAGTAAAGAGGCTGTTTTAAAAATTTTTTTGGAGCTGGAGTCTCACTTTGTCACCCAGACTGGAGTATAGTGGCACACTCACGGCCACCGCAGCCTCAACCCACTGGGCTCAGGCGATCCTTCTGTCTCAGTCTTCCAAGTAGCTGGAATTACAGGCACCTGCCACCATGCCCGGCTCATTTTTTGATGTATTGTAGAGATGAGGTCTCACCAAGTTGCCCAGGCAGGTCCTGAACCTGTGGGCTCAGGCAATCCTCTCACCTCAGCCTCCCAAAGTACTGGAATTATAGTAGTGAGCCACCATGCCCGGCCTAAAGAGGGCTCTTTATCTGGTCAAAGGCTGTTATGTACAGCCTTTGACCAGATACGGACATGTGGAAACTCAGAAATGAAAGCAGAAGACCTTTATGCCAAAGGGGTGGGAAGAGAAGAGAGGCCAGCCTGTGGGAAGTCCCTCTAAAGTCTGTGGACATCTAGTATGAGGAAGAACACAAGGAAGAGCAGAGACATGGACACCCCTAGCCAGGGCAGACAGGGTGGAGGATGCTGCTGTCTCGCTTGCCTTCCAGAGTGGAGCTCCTGAAATACATCACAGCAGAACTATAAATCGAAGTGTGGCTCTAGATGACAGGTTTTTGAGGGCTGCCCTGCCTCAACTCAAGATGTGTGTTCTGGGAAGAAATGCCACTCATAAAGGAAAGCCTAGTAGACCCAAGGCCACGGAGGACTTGTTTCCACAAGGGAGGCTCCCTAAAGTTGCAATGACCGAGGCACACGGAAGAAAGTCCTGGGTGCCAATGTCTAGCTTATGTTAAAAGAATCTGCAGTGGAAAGAAGAAAAAAAAAAACAATGACTATCAGTGATTTTCTCAAAGTGAAAGTGCACTTGAACTGATGTTCAAGTAAGTAAGTCTCTTCCTCTGGGAAGCAGGTGGCCGTCAGGGAGCCCGATCCCTCACCGTCTCGCTCCACCAGCGTGAAGGGCTCGCTGTCCCAGCCGTCCTCCAGGGCTGCGGGCTGCACGTCCAGGTGCCCGTAAATGCACACTGTCTTCTTCTGTGGGTCGGAACCTAGCGAGCCGAGCAGGATGGGAGGAAGTGGAATCTCTGAGCCATCGGGGAGCTGGAGTCCAAGGGAAAGTAATTGAGGTCAGCCTTTGTCTAGGAAATTTGGTATTTACAGCAGACATGAGTAAAATAAAAGCTTGTTTATCTGCTCTCACCAGTCAGTCTCTGCTGTGGAGTTTAAGATCATATTGTTGGGCAGAGTCATTCATTACTATGTCTTTGCTTTCCTGCACTCCAGATTATGTACACTGAATGATGTTTACCAACTGTGGGCAATTTGATATATATATATTTACAAGGGCTGATTTTTCTTTAACTTTCATAGAACGAGTCACACAGGTTGAGTTTGGGATGCAACTTAGTTTATTAATTTCATTCTTTTTTTTGTAGAGATAAGGTCTCGCTATGTTGCCCAGGCTGGTCTTGAACTCCTGGGCTCAAGCAATCCTCCTGCCTCAGCCTCCCAAAGTGCTGGGATTACAGGCGTGAGCCACTGCACCCAGCCTTAGTTTATTATTTTCTTGAAATGATGGTTACAATCAACTAGTCAGAAGGTATGTTTTTGAAACAATTTATACAGAAAGGGCCATGAACTGAGATATAGAGAAACGGCATTCCTATTAAACCACACTAAATGGAGCAGTGCTGGTTGGCACACCTTCTGAGTTTTCTCCCCTCAGCCATATTGGCATTCCACAACCCTGTAAAGAATGAGGATGGGGCATGTATCCCAGGACCCTCTCTGCCTCTAGACGAAGGAAAATCATTTTCCAACTTCCACATCAGGTCAACATCTCCATCTTTAATTATCACCCAGCCAGAGTGCAGTGGCATGCTCATGGCCACTGCAGCCTCACCCTGTTGGGCTCAGGTGATCCTTCCGCCTCAGCCTTCCAAGTAATTGATGAGGTCTCGCCAAATTGCCCAGGCTGGTCTTGAACCAGTGGGCTTAGGCAATCCTCTCGCCTAGGCCTCTCAAAGTACTGGGATTATAGATGTGAGCCACCACGCCTGGCCAGAAGATCTGTCAAGAACCTGTGAGTTGCAGGGCTCGGTGGCTCAGCCTGTAATCCCGCGCTTTTGGGAAGCTGAAGTGAGTGGATTGCCTGAAGACCTCATCTCTACAATAAATCAAAAAATCGGCCGGGCTGGTAGCGCATGCCTGTAATTCCAGCTACTTGGAAGGCTGAGGCAGAAGGATCGCCAGAGCCCAGAGGGTCGAGGCCGCGGTGGCCGGGAGCGGCCACTGCACTCCAGTCTGGGCGACAGAGTGAGACTCCAACTCAAAAAAAAAGAAAAAAAAAAAAAAAGAACCTGCGAGTCCCACTAACCCATTGAGCAGAATATCTGTGGTTCTGAAACATAAGGTGGACTTGTACCTTCTGCTTCCCGATGTCTACCAGCTCCACTGAGCCACCCAGCTGTTTGACGTCTGTGGCGGCGACCTCCATCATCTTCCGGATCTCGCCCCTCTTCTCGGGCCACGCGGATACGCTCTGGATGGCCACCCATTTGGAAAGTTTCTGTATATGGAAAAGAAGCAAAAACGGATTCTGAAAAGGTATTCGTAAAGAAGGAAAGGCTTTCATAATTCTGCCAGGTGTCAGGCACACCAAGTTGGCTTACTAGCTCTGCCCACTCCATTTAGAACATGTTCACTAGATGGAGAACAGACCTTTTACATTTGCTTTGTATTTAAGATTTACAGGCTGGGTGCAGTGGCTCACGCCTATAATCCCAGCACTGTGGGAGGCCAAAGTGGGAGGACTGCCTGAGTTCAAAGGTTCGAGACCAGCCTGGGCAAGGAGATCTCATCTTTACAATAAATCAAAAAATTAGCCAGGCATGGTGGTGCATGTCTAAGGATGACAATCCCAGCACTTTGGGAGGCCAAGGCAGGACGATTGCCTGAGTCCAGGAGTTCGGGACCAGCCTGGGCAACATGGTGAGAACTTGTCTCTATAGTAAATAAAAAAAATTAGCCAGGCATGGTGGCACACACCTGCAGTCCTAGCTACTTGGGAGGCTGAGGTGGAAGGATCACTTGAGCCCAGTAGGTCGAGGCTGTGGTGGCCATGAGTATGCCACTGCACTCCAGCCTGGGCAACAGAGTGAGACACCAATTTTAAAAAAAGATTTAAGGCCGGGCTTGGTGGCTCAGTCTGTAATCCCAGCACTTTGGGAGGCTGAGGTGAGTGACTGCCTGAGCCCGTGGGTTCGAGACTGGCAACTTAGCAAGAACTCATCTCTACAATAAAAAATCAAAAGTTAGCCAGGGGTGGTAGTGCGTGCCTAGCAGGTCAATGCTGGGGTAGCCATGAGCATGCCACTGTACTCCACCCTGGGCGAAGGAGTGAGACTCCAATTAAAAAAAAAAAAGATTTGCAGAACTGATTGTATTGACCCTGTACCAAGAACTAGAGCATGACAAAAAAATATCAGAATGTGTATTTTTAACCAATAAGGATGACAATCCCAGCACTTTGGGAGGCTAAGGCAAGACAATTGCCTGAGTCCAGGAGTTTGAGACCAGCCTGGGCAACATGGTGAGACCTTATCGCTACAATAAATAAAAAAAAATTAGCCAGGCATGGTGGCACACACCCGCAGTCCCAGCTACTTGGGAGGCTGAGGCAGAAAAATCACCTGAGCCCAGTAGGTGAAGGTTGCAGTGGCCGAGACTGTGCCACTGCACTCCAGCCTAGGTGACAGAGTGAGACTGAGTCAAAAAACAAGAAGCAAAAAAACCAAAAAAGACACCATGAACATAAAAGGTACCAAGTTTCAGAAACCAGTTTGTAACTGAATCTAACAAAATTGCAGTGGAAAGCTGTCACAGTCCAAATTTGCTTATTTATCAGCTTGACAATGTTCAAGTTTTCTAAAGTATTATTTTGACAATGAGAATTCTAACGATTTTGTCTGAAACGTGTCTGCCAGGAATAACTTTAAAGCATAATTCTTCCAGTTAACATCAGGAAATAGATTAATATATAACAGGATGGGATCACTTAGAACAAACTTGCTAAATGCAAACTAGTTCCTTAATCTGTAATTACCACAAGAAATTGTAGAGATTGAACAGATCTCTGGGCAACATTTATTTTTGGAGGGGAGGGCAGGATTTTACTCTGTTGCCCAGGCTGGAGTGCAGTGGCACAAGCACAGCTTACCGCAGCCTCCAACTCCTGGGCTCAAGCGACGCTCCCGTGTCAGCCTCCTGAGTAACTGGGACCACAGGCACGTGTCATCATGACTGGTTAATTTTTGTTTTGATTTTTTGTAGAGACTAGGTCTTACTATGTTGTCCAGGCTGGTCTAGAACTCCTGGACTTAAGGGATTCTTCTGCCTCAGCCTCCCAAAGTGCTGGGATTACAGGCATGAGCCATGGCACATGGCTGTAGGCAACATTTTAAACATTTGATTTAAATGGCATAATTCACATGAGCTTCCTGAAAGCTTCTCTGAGCTCCACGGAATTAAACCAGAATTTAATGCTTACTCAAATGAAAGATTTCCTTACCTTAATGTAGCGATCCTGATTTTCATCAATGAACTTGAATAACGCACCGAGAGCTGTCATCTTTCAACCAGAACTCAGACCTCGAAGATTCTTGAAAGGAAGTGATCCTCAGTCCTGCCTCTCGTAGGAACTGACTGGGAGGCACTCTTTCCAACTATAAAGTACTGTTCTACCCTTCCGTCAGGCTGTAACACCCTCAGGTCGTCACGAGACTTTCCAGGAAGTGACTGCAGCCTCGGGAGAGAAAAGTCTTTGGGAAGCAGTCAGAGGCTCAACTTTATCTTCACTTCTTTTTCTGGAAGGAAAACTGATACAAAATTGTGGGTCCAATGGCTACTGGTACAATGGTAACTGAAGGAGGGACTGAGTTCAAGACAAGCTAAAGAAAATGAAGAGTTTATTTACAGCACTGAAACAATTTTACATTTTAAAGCATACAGAGAACTCGCCACGTTCTATTATAGTCATTTCAAGGATCCCAGTAAAAATGCCATCCTGTCTCAGCAGCCACAAACCCACAACACAGATGACAGAGCCCAAGGAAAGCAGGATGAATTCAGTTTAAGAAGGTTGATGATCTTAGCCCAGAAAGAGCCAAAAGGCAACAGCTTAAACCTCCCTAAAAACCCAACTAAGAGGAAGACCGCACAGCCTTTTGGGCATATTTTTCAACACCCAGTGTTTCATGCTTGAAACCCAACAACCTCTGTTCTACCTTACAAATACGGATGAACATAGATCATTTGACTGTTTTAAAAATGAATGAACATGGCGGGGCGAAGGAGTTGAGACCAGCTTGGGCAACATAGCAAGATCATTTCTCTACAGAAAAATAAAAAAATTAGCTTGATGTGGTGGGGGTGCCTGTAGGGCCAGTTACTTAGGAAGCTGAGGCAGAAGATCATTTGAGTACAGGAATCTGAGGCAGCAGTGGGCTAAGATTATGCCACTGCACTCTAGTGGGCTATACAGTAAGACCCTGATTCAGAAAAAAAAAAAAAGAAAAAGAAAAAATATGAAATAAAAATGGTTCTGGTTTTGGGACTTTCAAAACTGGTTCTCTCCCCTTTCTTCAACTGATAATTCAGATTTCAGGGGCTGGACTCCAACTTCTGCCATACTGAGCAAATTTGGTACTGCAGTAACACAATGTGTTTCAGAATCACAGCCTGGGAGTGACAAGACCCTACTGCAGTCATGTGGTTCTGCATTGGGGTGTGCCAAACGCCTGTGCATTGACACACTGCAAGTAAAGAGTGTTTTCCTTCTTGGTATAGGACTCCACAGGGATTCTTGTATAGTGGCACACTCATGGCCACTGCAGCCTCGATGGCTGGGCTCAGGCGATCCTTCCGCCTCAGCCTTCCAAGTAACTGGAACTACAAGGCACACACCACCATGCCCGGCTAATTTTTTAATTTATTGTACAGATGAGGTCTCACCAAGTTGCCCAGGCTGGTCTCAATCCTGTGGGCTCAGGCAATCTTCTCACTTTGGCCTCCCAAAGTGCTGGGATTATAGGTACAAACCACTGCGCTCAGTCTTTTAAAAATTTTTATTGTAGAGATGAAGTCTCACCAAGTTGCCTGGGCTGGTCTCGAACCTGCAGGCTCAGGCAATCCACCTGGCTCAGCCTCCCCAAAATGCTGGGATTACAGGCTGAGCCACCGAGTCAGGCCTCCACAGGGATTTCTACACAGATAGGTGACTTATGTCCACCGTGACACAGAGTATAGCAGCTGTCCAGGATTTACCTGAGCCGCACAGGGTAATAAAATCACAGGGCACTGCAAGTAGCAAATATTTCTGTATGGGTAGGAGATCAAACCACTTTCTTTTCAAGGGCCCTCTTCCTCCTCTTCAAACACCAGCAATGGAGCATGAAATACTGACATATCTCCCAGCTGACTCAGATTGTCTCAGCCAAGGTGAGTGAGACAGAGTCCATGAATGCTGTGCAGGCCTTTTATCAGTTAATAAGTCGAATTTTAAGTATGTACACAGGGAGGCTACATGTCTACATGAAAAGAAACCCCATTTAGCAGGAAAATATACTACACCTGGTGCTTTTCATTTGGGTTCCTGGTTATTAAATACCACAAATCCCAAGCTCCCTGTGGTGTATTCTCATTAATATGTACTTTGTAGACAAATTAACCAATGGCCTTCTAGCCAAAGTCACTCAAAGATATAGCTACATGCCACTTAACAGACTACATATAACACCGTGGTCTCATAAGAGTATAATGGAGTTGAAAATTTCCTTTACTACATGTAGATACATTTAGATACACACATATCTACCACTGTGTTACAAATGTCTACAGTACCCAGTAAAGCAGGCTATACAGGTTTCTACCCAGGAGGAACAGGCTATACCATAGAGCCTAGGTGTGTGGTGGTTGTACCATCTAGGTTTGTGTGAGTATACTACTCTACCATGTTCATACGGGATGAAATCACCTAGTGAGGCATTTCCCACATGATGAAGAATTAGCTGAATTGCAACATTAATCAAAGGAGAGTAAGCAGAGAGCAGACTGTACTGCTATCTATGCAGTGCCATCAGGGTTGGACTAAAAAGCAACACACATTAACCATTAATCCTGTTAAACCAGGTTAGGCCAGGTTCTATCTTCTTCCCACTCAACAGTTCTGGGTTATTCCTGTTTCTCTTTCCCCAGTACCAAAGTCATTAGATAGAACCACTTCTATATACCCCAGAGAGCCCCACTTATGAAAGTAAAAACAGTTGGATTGAACAAGAACAAATATTTTCTTTTCAAATGATGGCCTCACTCCCCTGTTGGAATCTAAAGTTCATGGGCAGTAACATAATTTAAGGTTTTTTTTTTTGAGTTGGAGTCTCACTCTGTCACCCAGGCTGGAGTGCAGTGACATGCTCACAGCCACCGCAACCTAGACCTGCTGGGCCCAGGCAATCCTTCCACCTCAGCCTTCCAAGTAGTTGGCACTACAGGCCTATGCCACCATACCCAGCTAATGTTTTGATTTATTGTAGAGACAAGTTCTTGCCATATTGCTCAGGTTGGTCTCAGAACCCTGGGCTGTGGCAATGCTCTCGCCTCTCTGCCTTCAAAGTGCTAGGAATACAGGCATGAACCACTGCACCTGGCTGGGCAGTAACGTAATTTAAACAGTGAGATTAGTGAGAGGGAAAGAAGAAATTATGTGCAGCACCTGGAACATGGAGCAACACACACAAATGATTCTTTTACCTCAGAGTATCTCAATCCTTGTCCCTTGTTACTTCAAGTTTCCTCACCATGTGTCCTCGGACCCCCCCCCCCCCAGCATGGGTTTCCCCCCCTTCACCTTGCCCACCAATCCTGGTACATATTAAATAAACACCTGAATCACGCCGTGGGTCACGTCTGGGAGGCAGAGGCAACCGGATTGCCTGAGCCCAGGGGTTTGACACCAGCCTGGGCAACCTAACGAGACCTCGTCTCCACAAAAAATAAAAAAAAAATTAGCCGAACATGGTGGAGTGGCTGTGGTTCTGGTTACTTGGACAGCTGAGGCGTAAGGATCACCTGAGTACAGCAGGTCCAGGCCGCAGTGGCCCTGAGTGTGCCACTGTACTCCAGCCTGGGTGACAAAGTGAGACTGACTCAAAAAAAAAAAAAAGGAAAGAAAGAAAACATAGTTTATTTAAAAGTAAATTAGAGAGAGACAGAGAAGATTCACCTCCCCAAGGTGGGGGAGGGTACCCAAGCCAGGAAGCATGGCCACAGCCATAGCTCAAAGAGCACATGGCCACATCAGAGTCCAGCAAAGCGATGGCCACGTCTCTATTCTACAGATGAGGAGACTGAGGCTAATGGAACAAGTGACCTACTCCAGACCAGCAAGCTGGCAAGGGAATTTTGTCTCCCCTCAGGGGCTTCCTCCTACAGGCCTCAAATCTGTGGGAGCCGGGGACCCTGGCCGGGGTCCTTTGAACCTGGGGCATGCCTGTCCAGCGACACCGCCGTGGAGCCTCTGAGTAAGGGATTTGCTGGGGAAGCTGGAGTTCTCAGCAGGCCTCTCAGGGAGCGCGTGGGGACTGACCAGCACTCTCTGCAACGCTATCTACAACTGGGGTCGCCACACTCAAGACTCCCACCAGCAAGTGCCACGCAGGCCCGCATTAGACGCGATGCACCGCTTCTCATACGGGCCAGGGACGCCCTGCGAGTCCGGGCGCCGCGGGACCTCGGCCGGCCGGGCGCTTCTGGCGAGTGGCCCGGCTGACCGGGGTCCCCGGGTCCCAGGCGGCGCCGGAGGACCCTCCCGAACAGCGGCCCC